TTTGGCTACTATAAACCCTAAGAAGTAGCTATTTTTTTTTTGCTAGGGGTCTAAGCTCAGTATAGACTTTCCCAATCTCAGGTTACATCGCTGCGGGCTTCATAGTGGATGCCATGTCCATGATCATGCCGGTGGAGGTGCCGCAAACCCCGTAAACCCTAACCTGTACGGCCTAAATTCTTGGGTGTAGTGGTGGCAGTAGCAGTAGCAGTAGCAATGGCAGCAGCAGCAGCAGTAGCAGTGGCCGTGGCCGTGGCCGTGGCCGTGGCCGTGGCCGTGGCCGTGGCAGTGGCAGCAGTGGCAGTGGCAGTGGCAGTGGCAGTGGCAGTGGCAGTGGCAGTGGCAGTGGCAGCAGCAGTAACAGGCGCAGGGGCAGCAGTGGCCACACTAACAGCAGTGGTGGCAGTGGCAGGAGTTGGAGGAGGAGATGATCTGACCAAAATTACTGGAGGCGGAGAAGGAGGAGGGGGAGGAGGAGGAGGAGGAGCAGGAGGAGGAGGAGGAGAAGGAGTAGAATGAGTAGAAGGAGTCGAAGTAGTCGAAGCGAAGAAGGTGGTAGTAGTAGTGGCGGTGGTAGTAGTAGTAGTAGTAGTAGTAGTAGTAGTAGTAGTAGTAGCAGGTGTGGGTGTAGGTGTAGGTGTAAGTGTAGATGTAGGTGTAGGTGATGTAGGTAGTGTAGGTGGTGTAGGTGGTGTAGGTGGTGTAGGTGGTGTAGGTGGTGTAGGTGTTGGTGTAGGTGTAGGCGTAGGTGTAGGTGTGGGTGGTGTGGGTGCGGGTGTGGGTGTGGGTGTGGGTGTAGGTGTAGGTGTACGTGTAGGTGTAGGCAGTGGCAGCACTGGTAGTACTGCTGCCACGAGTGCTGGTGCTATCGCTAACACGACGACAACAAATGCCGCTGCCGCTGGCAACAGCATCTGAGTTTCAAACATCGGTAACAGTGGCAACGGTGAGAGCAAGGACAGTACGGTCATGCGCGTAGGTGGAGCGTATGTCTGCAGTGCAGTGAGCGTAGCGATGCCTTTATTGATACTGTGACAACACTTCTAGTGGCCGTGAGACTGGCAGCAATACCGACATGTTTGATACCAGCATTCAGAGCAACGTCAGTAAGCCTGGCAAAACATCATAATGAGAGTGACGATGTCTATTAGAAGAACAGACGCCTTCGTAAGCAGACGAGTAGATGCCCAGGTCTGGAGGCAAGCAAGCCAACTAACACCAGCATTCCAAGTCTGCGTTAGGATCCGAATTCAGCCATCAAAAGCAGTGCTCCAACATGGGTACTCTGAAAGGAACCTGTGCATCGCACCCCGTTGAAGGTTGGCACCTGGCCTTTCATCCCGGTCTTGATGCTGGTCATCATGACGTCGCCTGTCGGAAGCTAGCATGGCAGCAGCCTTCGGTAGAGAGATTCGATCCCTGAGCCCTAAACCCTGAACCCTAAACCCTGAAGCCTCAACCCTCAACCCTAAACCCTCAACCCTAAACCCCAGCCCTGAACCTTCCCCTCGACCCCAAAACCCTGAACCCTAAACCTAAACCCTAAAACCCTAAACCCCTAAACCCTAAAACCCTGAACCCTAAACCCTCAACGCGAAACCCGAAACGGGTTGCGTGTCTTGGGGTCCTTGGATTCTCTCCAGACCTCCCGCTCCTTGGCTCTTGGACCCTGAGCCCTTGTAGGAACCCTTAACGTTTCTGGTTTAGGGTTCAGGGTTTAGGGTTGATTGTGCAGGGTTTGGGGTTTTGGGTTTAGGGTTCAGGGTTTAGGGTTGATTGTTCAGGGTTTGGGGTTTTCGGTTTAGGGTCAGGGCATCCTAAGCATCCCCTAAACCCTAAACCCTAAAACCCTAAACCCTAAACGCAAAGCCCTTAAAAGACTAAACCCGAAACCATAAAAGCCTGAAACCCAAAAGCCTAAACCCTGGCGCCTACGTAGCCGGCGCCCGGAGCGCCC